ATTTCATGTAAATATGTAGTAACATCAGTATAAGCAACACTTTTTAGCCTGATGAAGTCTTAAAGGATGAAATGCATCACATGAAAAATCTTTTTCCACTTTCTCATTAATTTTCTTAACATTGTTCTGGTATAAAAAATGTATATATTTTCTCACACAAAAATATATATATATATATATATATATATATATATATATATATATATATATATATATATATATATATACACATACACATATATAGCCCTGATGGCTTATTTCTATTGCTCAGCAGTGTAAATCTTGGAAGCCCCTTGTTAAAAAATGGCATCAGAATTTTAAAGGGCTCCACCCCAAATATTCTGAAGTTTTTTAGGCTCCTTCAGATTGTAAGAAGCCCTCAACTTAAATTTTCTTAGTTTATGCCAAAATCCAGTACTGCAAATATAGGTTACTTTGTTGTGGAACTCTTTTCTGGCTGCTTGCTTCCCAGTCAACTTTGATCTTCAAAAGTTTAAATGCAAGGTCACTATCTTCAGTTTTTTTTAATTCTTGTTCTTTTATTGTTCTCGATTCTTAATAATATTTTTCTCATACTCTCTAACACTCAGTATACCCTTGCATCTTAGTGGCTTTATTGCCTTGCTTGGGGCGAAACGATTAAAAAAAAAGAAAGTGTTGTACTGCTCTATCTTGCTTTGTAAAGTGTTGAAAAAAAGAGAAAACATTTTTTTATTTGTTTTTTTATGACAGAAAAGTTATTACTCACAGGATTATCAATAAAAAATGCCTTGTTTAACAGGACTAAAGATAGGTGAATGATTCACCTGAGAAGTTAATAGAGCAATATACGATAAGACCCAAATATACATAACATTAGAAGTGGGTATTGAAACATTTTCAGTCATGATTATAAAACAGGTCATTTTATTTTATAGTAGAAGTAAAAAGAGAAATGAATATATAATTTTCTAATGTCATATTCTTCTGGTGTCAGTTTAAATTAACGCCTTTTTTTTCTTTTATCTAAACTATAATTTTTGAAAGTGAAATTTCTACTGAAATGTTTTGGAAAATTTCCATGTTGAAATCGATAAAAGAGAATCTTTAAGCAAAATGGCCACAATACAGAGAAAAGAACAAAGCATCAGTTTAGATTTATGCCAAGAGGATATGAGCAATGGCTGACCTACATTTTTGTGGCCCTGAAGCTTGAACAGATATGGCAGCCCTTTTGAAACCAGCAGCAATAGATTTGAGGATCCAACTGCCAAATGTAGGCTATGAATAAATTCTGGCAAGCTCAACAAACCCATACAGCTGCAAGCCTCCAAGAAAATTTTGAAATTTGACCAATTACAGGGGAATTTTTGAGGCCATAGAAAATGGGTATAAGAGTGTATTCTAAAGCCAACATTAACTACTTCAACTCATTGGCTTATGATTCTATCAGTAAAATGGACTAAATTTAATAATAAGCATTTTAAAAAAAAAAATGGATTTTTGTTGAAAAATTCATTCATTAAAAAAAAAATTGCTTCAGGTGCCCCCCTCTAGGATTAGGGGCCATGAAGCTTAAGCTTCATTAGTTTCATAGTAGATCTGCCACTAGATATAGGTTGGCAAAGTATAAATAATAGTTACAGAAAATATAAAATTCAACTATTACCTAAAATAAAGTTGTTAGTTTAGTAGTAGAGCTAGTGGAATGCAATCAAGTAGGTTGGTTACTAAAGGGATAGGCACAGGTATTCATTGATCATAATAGCATTAAGATAGTCAAAAGAAAGATAATGATGGTGGCGTATAGAAGTGAAGGGTTCATGTATGCAGCACATACAAAGCTTGCCTTAGATATTTTCCAGGATAAATAATTTCTGTGTAACAAAAATTAATTATTGATATTTTTACTATCCTCTTTGGACTTGTGATAATTGTTTAAAATCTCCCATTTCTTTCATTTCTAAGGATAAATTGTGAACGTGCAATATTAGTAGAATAGTGTAATCAGAGAAGGTCCCTGCTTCCATATACCATTCTTGTGCAAGTTCAGTGCACTGGCACAGAGAAAATGGAAGAGCTGAGTGAAAGAAGGTTCAGTGAGCAAGAAAAGAAGAAAGAAAAAAGCAGTAGAGTTTGGTGTTTCTTCCTTTTGAAGAAGGTGAATGTAGAGCATGGTGCTGATATTTTGTATAACAAAGTGATCAAATAATTTGTCAAAAAGAAAATAAGAATTAAATTAATTTACAAGTAAGTTTTAAACATTATTTGTTGACTTTATGACTTTCTTGAATATCTCTTGAAACCATCCATTAAGGTCATCATACACTGCATGCACAGGTTTCAAAGTCATTTTTTGAAACTGATTTGTACTAAAAGGAACTTGGAAGACACCAAGAGCCAACAACGCCATTAGTGAATATATATATATATATATATATATATATATATATATATATATACATATATATACACACAGGGTGTGATGAATAAATTGTTGTCTAAATTACACAAAAATGAAACTAACACTTTTAACAGATATATTTACCAAAATTACACAAAAATATCTTAAAATACTAAAGAGCAAATTTATTCAATAAAATTGCCATTGGCTTCAACCACAACCTCCAGATGACTTTGGAATCTTCTGCAACTCTTCTGGACGATCTCCTTGTTTAAGTTGGTGAATCCTGCCATAATCCTTGCCTTCATCTTTGTTGTTACAAGGAGTTTTGCTGGTCTGTCATTCATCTGCACCCCACACATAATAATTAAGGAGGTTGCAATCTGGGGAGTTAGGTGGCTAAGGGGTGATGTGATCGGAGAAATTGTCTGACAGCCATGACTAGCTTCTCCAGATTGTGTGGCATGGTGCAGAGTCTTGTTGTGAGACATAAGGTCTTCCAGTAGCCACTCTCTTGACTCAGAGCAGCACTGCCTCCTCAAGAACCCTGTGGGAAGATGAGGTATAACGTTGGCATCACTTGTAATCACTCCAAACACCTTTGTAATCACTGTTAGACTTATCCAACTCTTTCTGAATCCTCTGCACTGTCCTCAGATTGACACCCAAACACTCTGAAATGCTCCCAGTGCGAATGGCAAGCAGTACAGCATGAGTTAATTGCATCATGATGCTCTTTTTCTCAAAGATGGTGCCCAACTGACCCTACTATACTGTGCATGTATGAAATTAAAACTATAAAATAGCGACAATTTACCCATAACACCCTGTAGATAAAGGAGAATTAATTTCAAGGCAGATATGTATAAAGTTCCATAGAGATAGTATCTTTGGGATTGTAAACTATATCACTAATACAGTCTAGAGCTGAACTGTACTGAGTGGTAGGCCATTTTCAATTAATTATTTTCTTATTATGAACAATTGGAGTGAAGGTTTTTTAAGTGATCTGAGGTTTTGAGAAGTGTGAAACCACCTCTTAGTTGCTATTGGTTCCTAGGTCCACCCTGATCCAGTGTGTTAGTATCCCACCTATTGGCAAGTAGTAAACCCCCAAACAAAAGCAAAGCACTATGAAAGTATACAAGTATATATTTATAGTAAAAATACCAGCAATATATTTTTATATAAAAAAATTACCAACAATACTTATTTATAGTAAAATTACCAACAAAATATTTTATTTGTAGTTGAAGGCATACAACTGTGTACAAAATATTTAGATTTCAGCACTAAATGACCAATAGGGGTTGATATGCCGCAAAACAAAATCAATCAAACAATAATGATTACAGTCAAATATAAATCTTTATGTAATGAAATTGCATTCTTAAAATTATTAATAAAATATGAAAAGATTAATGATTATTTGAAATTTAATTTGAAGCAATATTTACAGTATAAATAACACCCTTTATACTCTGTCAGAAATTCATTTCTTTAACTTCAACAAAAGTGCTTACTTTGAGATCTACAGCTGATGTGACAAAAACAGAAGTTAAATATCATCCACAAATACCAGAGTCATAAAACATCTTTCCTGACTAATCAGAAAATGGCCCACGCAGTTTTCACAGCAGTGCCATTTCTGAGCCACTGACTGACTATAAAACCAACACCATTTCCACCCAGGAAGGTAGATCTGACCAGGCAGGCATTATCAATGGACACCAGAGCAGGCAACAGTGATGCATTTGGGTAATGAAGGAACCTGCAGTAGCAGAGACTAATACAATGTAATAATGTTTAATGATTTTGTCCACTAAACAAAATGAACTCTCAGTCTCCTATGACTGATATATGATATTCAGAAGCAAGCAAACAGTCGATCTTTGTAAGTCATGGAGAATAAAAACTAATCTTCTTATTTCAACCATATCTTATGTCCATTTGTTGCTGTTTCATTTCCTTATTTTTGTTTGTTAATGGTAAGGCTGCCATTACTAATGAATTCCTGATTGAAATTCTGGGCTGACTAGAAAAGTTTCTGTCTGCAGACACCTGAAGAAGTCTGGAGGCATAAAGGCCAAAATGCTGTGATAATAATATAGATTATGACATTAGTCTGACTGCAAATAACATAACTAATGATATTTGTTACTAAAACATTTAGTACTTATTAGTTACAAATTTTACCAAGTTTTATATAAAAATTTAAGAAGAAAATAAGTTGTTTTTTTTCATATCAATTCTAAAATCAGAAACTAAAGCCCACCAAATGCATACGCATCATAAAAAGAAGAAAAAATGTTAACATTCTGAATTACTTTTTTGTGCAATTAAATTATTTATCAATCCCTTCAGTCACCCATGGCAGGGTCAAAGTTAAATGTCTAAATTTTAAAATGAAAATAGTTTTTAAAATGGAGAAAAATTTCTGACTACTCAACCCAAAGAAAACCAGAGGTTAACAGTTGAAATACTATTTTACAAGAAAAAAAACAGTTCTATAGTTATAGTAATCAAAGAAAAACAATTATTCGATTTTGTTTCAGTTTTTTTTCCTTTATTTTTAATGTTTCATGTAAAATGGAATTCTCAAAAAACAATTACTTACTCGTGGGTCGTCAATTCCAGAAATGGAAGCTTCCGGTCGATCCAACACCAAGAAAGCAGCTAAGTTAGCTGTATAGGAGGCAACAATGATCATGGCAAAGCCTGCCCAGACCATTCCTAAAACACGGGCACTGAAGCTGCGGGGGGTACCTGAAACACAGACGTGAATAACTGTAGCTCATTCACATATACCAAGACAATACTTGGGCACCCAGTGAGGATCAAAATCACTCCACAACAGTAAAGGTCTGATAAACAAGTTCATTATTGTAAAATAACCAAAGATATTTATTAAAAATAGCTTGTTCAAGACCAAATGGATATAGATTGTGTCGTGTTTATCTTCCAAGTGGAGAGGGTTTGTCTGCTTTGAAAATCAGCATTCAAAATCATAGCTTTTTATTTAGATTCAAATACTGGCTCCATCTATGAGGATGGCTGCATATAACTTAGTTTAGACACAAGTATAGGAAATAAACCCTATTTCCAACACAATTACATACTTACATACATACCATATTAAAACACACCCAAACTTTATTTTCTACCCAACAACAGACAATATTACAAACATGCCAAAACGATTCCACAATACAACACATGCCATTTAAATCAAAGTTTCTATTGGTTAGAAATCAACATCAACATGTGAAATATTTGACCAATCAGAAAACTAAAACCTTATTTTTCTCAAGACTACTTTTGGGAAAGATTTCTTATAAAATTTCACAGATTTCAAGTTTCAAGAGAAGAGAAGTGGCAGTTTTCAAACTGAGAACAGAAATATGTGACTGTCTCCAGCACCTGCTATAAGAAACATGTGTCAGCAATTTTGAACGAATCATCTCCAACAACAACAAAGACAGTCAGTGAATATTCACTAACAATAAAAGTCTTTTATCAACCAGTGTTTTTTTACTGTGAAACCAACTATTTAAAAATCTTGTCTAAACCACACCCTTTCTGTGAACCTGTTAGCTGAAACCAAGTTTTGCACCAGTAGTCTGGAGTCCTGTCAAAAAGGATATAAACAGATAGTCAAGAGGCAGAAAGAGAGAAGGGACTGTCAGAGAAACCAGCCCAGTATGACACGTGGAGAAGTTAAGCAGTTGTCTGCTTAAGACAGTTTTCCACCCTTTTAAGAGCTGAGACAACAGCAGATTGACGTCTGCAACACGTTTCCATAGTAAACACACTCTCAACTGTTACCTAAGTCCAACTTGTAAACTGTCAACTACTGAGCTGAACAGACATTTGCCAACCTGAATTACAAAGAACTCATTCCAATCAAAATCAAATAAACATATATTATTTGTTTATAGCTTTGATTCTGTTTATCTCCGAAGTTTCCAATAAATATTGCTAAGAACATCTGACACATCTCTTTAACTCAACGAAAAACTATTTTTAGTACTTTATTTTTAACTCTTAATTCATGTATATATGTTTGTAAATACAAATGATTTATTTAACAGGCATACCCATGTTTTCTTTAGTTTTATTTTATTATTGTTTAGAATTCAGTCATTCAGATTTTTAATATAAAAACCTGAAAGACCAGATTTTCCACACAAGAATAAATGCAAAAATGGAGGTTAGAAAACTGGTGGACATTATGTTATGCTAATTTTCTAAGTAGGGAGAACCTGTCTGCCTTAAAAATAGGCATTCAAAATCTTTGCCTTTTTTTTTTCCTTAGGTTTAAACACTGACAAATGACAACAGTGGACATATGAAGATCTGATATATTTCAGTTCTTGTTACATAAATGTACTGACTTTTTATGTAGAAATATTATGTTTTGCCAATCTTTCAAATCAATTACACCTGCTTTGAAAATCAGCATTCAAATTCCTGTTTGTTTTTATCTGGGCTTGAACACCAACCACTGAAATCAGTAGGAAATACACAACTAAATAAGTTAACTGTCAATGATTCTTCTAGCTACTGGTTAATTGATATTATTATTCCAGATTTAATGAATGTTTTCTAAATCTGATATAAGTAGGAATAATAACAAACCTTTGAATGATAGATACTGTTTAGTGTTAGAAAAAAGAGAAAAAATGTTCTCTGTTATCCGCTGGCTGGAGACTGGTCGTTTACGTTATAGTTCAAGGGAGACAACTCATGTTAATTAAATTTCATAACTTGTGAATGGCCGATAGTAGACGACAACATTTAAGACACTTTGACATTATTATTGTCGAAGTGATAAAATCAGCATTGTTGTGAGCCTCATTTTGATAACAGTATCGTAATTCACCAATTTTGACCTTTTAATAAGATTTCATGTTGTTTATATAGAACTTTGATGAAGAATTTATGGATAACAAGAGAAATAAATAATCAAATTGTCTTGTTTTATAAACAATAATAGTTTTAAAAATAAATATCTCCTGTTTAGTTCTGTTTTAAAGTTCTGATAGCTAAGGGCTTTTTTTTTAATTATTTTGTTTTTTTCAAAGAGTCTAAAAAAATCCATATTACACGGAAATGTACACTAATTTGTCTATTAGGCTAATGTATGCTACATCCTGAAATTTTCTCGCCCTCCAGCAATGTCCTCTACTTATTATTTGAACTTCATTTCATAGAAAATAATATGAACCATTTTCCCTCAAAATAGGATCTGCTATAGCAGATCTTTTTACTTCTCTTGTGGATATGGTTTTCTTATATTCTGCCACTCTTTTAGAAGATAGGTATTTTCTCTCTTATATACTTTTCTACAATTGCATGGGACATTATCAAACCGCTCTTTGTAACTTCCATACTAGAGTTGGTATCTTGCAAGAGAAAGAATTAGAGAACTATAGGAAAGAAACTATTTCCAACACAATTAAATATCCATATCCATATTATTTTCTAGACAATAATAAACAATATTACAAATATGCCAAAAAGACTGTACAATACAACACACATGGTTAAAATCAAAGTGTCTGTTGGTTAGAAATTAACATCACGATGTGAAATATTTGACCAATCAGAGAAAACTAAAAACTTATTTTTCTTGAGCCTACTTTCAGGAAAGATTTCTTATAAAACCTCACAGATTTCGACTTTCAGCAACAGAGATGTGACTGTCTCCAAGCCATTCAAACACAAGATAGGATGTGGCTACATAAATTTTTTCCTTTCCCCACCAGTACATGCTGATAGAAAAATGTTTTAGTGACTTCAAAGGACTCATCTCCAACAACAACAGCTTGGATGGTCAGTGAATCTTTGCTGACAATAAAAGTCTTTTCTCAACTACAGCTTTTGACTGTGGACTGTCTACTTAAAAGTCTTTTCTAAACTACAGATTTTTTTCTGTGAACAAAATACCCAAAAACTTTAACTCAACTAAGTACTATTTTACTCCTTTTCAACTCTTTTGAATTCATGTACATGTGTTTGTATATAGAAATGATTTATTTATGGATGACAGAATATCCTACAGGCATTTACTCTCATATCAGCATTCCTTTTTAATAAGATTTTATCAAAATTGGCATATTCTTCTTCATTGATCCTAACTTTGAAGATGGAATAATTTAAGTAATATATTAATCATATTATGGTCTTATAATATTATTATAAGTCAGAAAATATTTTTAGATTGTAAAAATTTTTTTTGATTTAGTGATACAAGTACTACTAATTAATCCATAGCTGGAGGAGAAGTGGATTCATAACGTTCCTAAGGGTATTTGCACCTAAGTGAATATAACAGACCCAACTGGAATTAGAACTCGGCTCTCCAATTAAAAACTCCAATTATTATACCACCCACACATCCAAGTTTATAGCACCTGCTATTCCCAAGTGGTGACCCATCTAGGTGCTGACCAGGCACAATGTTGCTTATCATATTGGAACTGGTATTTCAACATGATATGGCTGTAAGCTGAAAGCTCCCAAAATTGTGTTCAAAACAACAATGATAAAGATAACAGTCATAATATAATGCGTGGAATAAGAAAAGTGTTTCATCTGAGCAGTTGAGAAAATAGTTTTCTGTGAAGCAGTGAAGTTTTATAAATTTGGTTTACTTTGGTATTAAGCAATGTTAGGTGTTATATAATTGTTGCTTTTGGCAAAGTACCAACTCAGCTCAAACATTGTAACAGTGCACATGTCACTATAAAATAGGGCAGCCAAGCAGACCCAAAGGTGAAGGGGTAGGGTACAGGCAGGTGTGTGGATAACAGATTGAGTCAGGCCTTGAGAAGTTTTTTTTTTTTTTTTTTTTTTACTTCATATTTTGGATTTCTCACTATTTAGTATTTGGAAAACTAAAGATTCTGTATATGTGTGTGTGTGTGTATGTGTATGTGTGTGTGTGCATCCACCTTGATCAAATGGGTTACATATGGAACATTTATCATGATAAAAAGACCTTCTTAAATTGAACAAGACAAGCCCTTCCTCTCCTGATCAAAAACATAAGAAAAACTGGAGAAAAAAAATAGTTTTGTTTTGAAAAGACACCCACTAACAGACACTTGGAAATTTTGAACCCAGCCCCAAGGGAAGGGTAGGGTTTGAAAACAGGCAGAGAAAAATGATAAAAGGTAAGGAGGAGGAGGTAAGGCCTGAGCATCTTACTCTTTAAGAAGATGTTTTGGTTATATACAACAAAGTGTAAGTTACACAGAAAATACTTTTTCTTTTGGTAAAAATAAATGTTTTTGGAATGAGAGAAAATAAAGTATTTTGAAAATAGCAAAAAACAGTTCCCGTTTGAAAAAAAAAAAGTGACTGAAACTATTATATTTTAAAGAACTTAAACTACCATTTACCAGCAGTGGGACTGAAGAAGGCCATGGTTTTGAAGGAAAATTGATTGATTTGTTTTCTACAGCGTATCAATTCTTTGCAGGTTATTTAAAGCCAGAAAATATTTTTAGGCTGAAAGAATTTTTTGGAGATAATAACAGTTCTCTGATTAACAATTTCAAGCCATTATCCATTACACCACCTGCACATCCAAGCTTACCTGGTATTCACTATATTCACTTAAGCACAAATACCCTTGGGAAAAGTATGAATCCCTCTTTTCCCCCAGCTATAGGTTAATCAGTAGGACTTGTTTCACTAAATCATTATTATCTCTCTCTCAAAAAATTCTTATAATCTAAAAATATTTTCTGACTTTAAAT